ATAGAATTAATATCTCTACTATTAAAGATAAATTTATTATAAATAGTAGATAAATCTAGAAGTTTATAATTATTATTAATATTCTTAGTTCTAAGCAAGCTAACTAGGATATTTATTATAATAGTTAATAGAGAAAGAAAAGTATAGTAAAGTTAAAGAACTAAATTAAATTAAATTAAGATTTAATTCTAGTTAAATTTATAATATATTTAGAAGAGAATCTTACTAAGTATTAATAAGGGAAAAAACTCTACTTTCTATACATATTTCTTAATTACTAATAGTAGTCTCTATAAGTGCAATTTAACTTCTAGCTAATTAGAAAGTAGTAGGCGCCCTATAGCAATAGTCAGGTCAGGTCAACTACAATAGTCAGGTCAGCTGAGGTAGGCAAGTAATAGTCGGGTCATCTGCATTCTCAGATGCGAGCGTTGCCCGTCCAAGTCTACCCAAGTATTTCTCGCGTGGGCAGAAAGCCGCATGGGCGCATCGCATCGCTGGTGACCAGCATAGAGGGCATTATGCTTATCTTATGCCCGCTTTTGTGAATGGCATGGCTCGTGGAGGGCGGCCGGGGAGCTGAGCAGCCACCAAGTCTTGGCAGGGGCCGGGAAACGACGATTGGGCGCGGTGCGGGAGACCCGGGTCGAGACCCAGGCAGGGCTCGCCAGGAGGGCCCAGGAGATGGACGGACTGCATGGAGACTTGACTTGTCACGTCGCACATATCGGTCCAGGACGGAATGGACTCACCGGACGACGCGAGACGAGAGGGGGCGAGCGCGTCGGGCGAGCTCATGACTCGTGAGGAACCATTGAATGAGGTGCGTCTCTAGTTTCTATGCAAAGAACAAGCCGGGCTGTGGACGAGAAGCTGGTCAAGGCAGGCGCGGTCAAGACCAGACTTGCCTCGAGTGCCGAGACGCTGGGCGACTCTCATTCCCGCTCCCACGGCAACGGCAACGGCAACGGCAATCTGTCTATCCTGTCGTCGACGAAGCTCTCCGTTACTGTAATTTGTTGCCCTGCTGAAAAGTGGACTGGAAGCCACTCCATCGCAAAAGTGGACTGAAAGCCACTCCGTCGCAGTCCCGCGGCGCCAGATTACCACCAGCCAGCAGCATTGTGACTTGTCGGGCCCGAAGTGGGCATTGCATTGTGCATGCTCCGTACTCCGTGCATGCGCAACTACTACTACTAGTACTCCGTACTAATGAATCAATAATTAGGTGTCTACCCGCCGGGCCCGTTGCCATCCATCCATGGATCCACGGACCACGGACCACGGCAAACGGCCAGCAGGCAATGCCCTGTTCCTGTTCCTGTTCCTGATCTTGCCGTCCGACCGTCCCATCGTCCAATCGTCCAAAACGTTGGGGTTTATCCGAGGACCCACCGCAGCAGGTCCCCCGTTTTCCCATCCACGATCCATGCACGGGGAGCCGGGGACAAAGGTCGCTCTCGAGACTCGAGTCTTGCCTGCCACGGCGGGCGCGCGCCGCCTGTCTCCGGCACAACTTTGCTCCTTTCAACCAGCCAAGCTTTCAGTGCTTTACAAAACGTCGCCCGCCTCTCAGACATCCTCGTCTCGACCATCACTGGCCTGACAAAGAAGCCAGGCAAGTCTGCAGCATCAATGCATATTGGCCAAAGTAATCCGTTTGGGTGACCCTTTTCCTCGCGAGCCGCGGACAAAACGGCCAACGCTACGCTTTGTTTCCCTCCTCTCGTACGCGCGACCGAGAGCACGACCGCCACACGCCAACGAATCATCGAAACCATCGTCGCATCTCCGTACTTTCGCCCGTCGCCCCGAATCTTGCTACTCTTCGTCAACTCGCCCTTCTCATCGCGCTCTAACAAGCCGTCGAACCCTCTTTTTCTGCTGTTCTGTCGTTTCCTTACCTTGTGCGAAGTCGTCCAAGTTGGTGGGCTGCTCAGAGGCCCTCCTAGCATCTCCAAATAAATACCTGAAGCCACCGACAACCCATATTGTGCAAGTCGAAACTGCGTCTTGGTTCTCGGTGATGGCTTTCGGGCCTCTCTTTTGAAGAAATAGGCCGCCCTTCTCAAAGTATCCTGGCTGAAACGCCAGAGTCGACAGTTACCGGAATACGGATGCATCTTCGACTTGAGGAAACGGACTGGTCTGTGTCATTCCAAACATATCATTGATATCGCGTCTGCCTGGTTGTCGATGCGCAAACCCTGCGAAACGCGGGACGTATTGAGACGTATCACGTCTTGGGCATTCTGTTTCGTCTATCCCAACCGTGCCATGCTACTGGAACAAAATCTTTCATGTCTCGAGCAACTCATCGAAAATGGATTCAACTGCGCCTCAAATCCGACAAAAGTCCGGGCGAAACCATCGACTGCTGCCACCTCGGATAATCTTGCCGACCCTCGTGCTTACCCTAACTTCCGTATTTGCCTCGCATGCAGCCGCCGAGGAGGCTCTATTGACACAAATTATATCTACACCCGCAACGGTGCTGCCATCTTTGCACCGCCCAAACACAGCAATGACAACATCTGCGCCGGTTACGATATCTCCCACTGCAGGAGAATCAGAACGATTGGGGAAGAGACAAGGAAACAGCAAGAATGCGTCGGCAGAGGCGGGCCAGTCCGAGGAGAGTACGTTGGATACTGACAGTCTGACAAGTTCGAAGGAGACGACTACATCATCAGCCACCACTACCACTACCACTAGCCCCTTACCATCGCCCTTCGGCAGTCTGGCCCAAAACGCTTTCCAAGTCCGTGGTAGTGACGATTCTTGCCCCAACTTCATGGCTGCATTGCTCTCGGATCCTACTTTCAAGCGATGCTATCCCATTTCCATGATGATTAAGGTGTGTCCTTGCTCGGTCCTTGAATTCCCCAAGATGGAATGGCGCGCGTCTTGGTCTGACAGGCTTCAAATCTAACCGTCTTTTGCGCAACAGTCTTCCATCTCATTTTTCGACGCCGAAAAGGAACTTGTCAGCATCGTCAAGGTTCTCGACGCCACATGCGCAGCTGATGTCACCAAGTGTACCAAATATATGACCCAAGCTGCCCAAAATCTCACCACGAATGGCAACTGCAAACGGGAGTTCGACCAGAACCAGACTCAGGTCGTACAAGCCTGGCAGGGTTTAAAGGCCTACAAAGTTCTTTACTCGGCGACCTGTCTCCAGGATCCCTCATCAAACTCGTACTGCTACGCCAATGCCGTCACAAATTTCACGAACCCGTCGGACGTGTACTTTTACTTTATGCCCTTTGGGCAACCGTTGATAGCTTCGGCGACGCCATCCTGCAATTGGTGCATACAGAATACCATGTCAATCTATCAGTCAGCTTCCGCAGACCGACAACAGCTTCTGACACCGACATACCAAGCTGCAGCGAACCTGCTCAACGCGCGCTGTGGTCCAGACTTTGTCAACTCGACTCTACCTGCTGCTGAGAATGGAGCTTTCGTTGTAGCAGTGCCATCTCATATCGCCATGGCAGCTAATCTTGTTGTCGCGCTTTTCCTCCTGGCGAGGTTCTTGTAATCGCCAATTCACTGCACATATTGAGCAACGCCCGGTTCATCATGTCTGCATTTCAAAGCGACCGTCTCTCGACATATTCTCAAATACCTCTTCACGCACAATCATGCGTATTCTCCGACAAAATTTTTGGACACGTCACGCTATAATTTCAGCATAGAGCTTATCATTGTCGATCTTTTTTTTTTTTCGCGTGCAGCTGATGCAAGCACCGACATTTAATCACGTTGAATACGCCATCATTATTATTCCATGACATGGATTTCCCATATCTGGGTTGGATACCACTAAAAGCATAGCATGATTTGCACGGCGGTTTTTTAATTGGTTTTTTTTTTGTCTTTGGTTTGGCGTCTCAATTTGTGAATTTGAATTTCTGCACAATGTCCGTGAGATAGAGTGCATAATCGTACCGGCTGAGCGGTGTAAATGGGACGATATATGTATTCTGGGCCATCAGGGGTGAGACTCGGCAGGTTTTCGTAAAAGGGATGTATATTGATTGCATGGAGGCACAGATGTAGCTGGAAGTATGGCGAGAACTTGTATCCTTGATCTGCTACGAGCTAGTCAATTTGTAAAAAGCATCATGTACTCGAGTATATCATTTCTGTCACATGATTGTTCTGCGCGCACTCTACGTCGACGGGTTATTTGTGCTCATCTTGTCGTGTTGGCGGTGTCTCGAGTGCGGGAGAGAAAATGCCAAATATATGGAACAAAAGTCGGCAAATTGTTGGAGAAGCGACGCGTCATTTCATCCGTAGCGCCTGGCATTCGTGTGTCGTCCTTTGGGGGGAAAGTTTCAGTGCCACTTCAACGATAGATACGTCGTCAAACTCCGGAGTAGCCAGCCGGCACTCGTCAGTAAGATTCGTATCGTCTGCGTGGGTGAGAGAAGACGGTATCGCAACATGATACGGAGTAGATCGCCAGCGCCTTGACCTTGACCGGTCCTGGCTGTGTGACGATACATGGGGAAATAGCTCAAGATGGTGCGATATCTCAATGAGGGTCGAATCGGAGCTGCTGTGTCACGATACATGGGGAAATAGCTCAAGATGGGACGATATCTCAATGAGGGTCGAATCGGAGCTGTGACAGACAGAACCTGGTTGGCGTCAGATGCAGACGAAACGAAACCAGCAAAAGTGTCCAAGTTGAAGGCCAGTTCACGGGGCGGTCAGACAACGGCCGAATAATCCCCGTCTTCCTTGCGGGAACGTCGCCCGATTCCGACAGTTGATTTATCACAGCGTCTACGGAGTAGTCGGTACTACAGTTTGTATGCAAAGCGCGATCTGAGCGACGCAACGACCCATGGCCGCTGTTCAGGCTGCAGCATCTGCACGTGCGGCCCTGGCTGGCTGGCAACTGTCTGTGGTGGTCACAGACTCACGGACGGTGTCTGGGAGACACGAGGCGGGGAGGTTACACGGCATCCCAGCACAGTGCAAATGTCGTCAGTGTCGAGTGACCCCGGTTTCAGCACGTAACTACCTAGGTAGGTACTTACCTACTCGCTCGGTACGGAGTACCTGCTTTGAAAAGAAAGATGCCGCCGGCCAGGTTCTCGGAAACCAGACGCTCAATCCACGCTGCCCGGTGGCACCCTCCCTCCCCTCTTTTCTTTCCCCAAGGCTATTTATTGTTGCTGCAACCACTGCAACGTGTCCGACAACATTTACCAAAGGCCATCCTCGGCCAGCGCTACAGATACCGTTACCAGAACCAGGATACTACCAGGTCATCGAGCAGCCAGCCACCCTGCAGGACAGGACCATTCCGGCGGGGATTGGCCATGCTCCGCACCGAGGCCGTCCGTCGGCGCAGACATGGTGGGGCACTTTGTGAACAAGCGGTGTGTTCATGCACGCACGCACGGAGGTGCGCCGAGACTCGAGAGCCAGTTTCCAGACAGGAACCAACCACGCGACCGAAAAGACGGAGCATTGGGTTGATAGCCGGTACTGTTCCGATGATTATAGCAACGACCTGGCATGCATACGGCGCCTTGAGCAGAGGGTTCTTTACCCACGTAATACAGTAAATCGATTGCATCACGGCATACACCTGTGGTGCTGTTCTGTGCGCTATGCGTCGGGGCCCTTTTCTTCCACAATCCTCCGGTCGTTTCTAAACCTTCAAGTTGGCAGGCAGTCGACGACCCAGAAACTTGGGATTGATCGGAAATGCCACCTGAAAACATGGCAAGGCTGCGTACCTGCCTCAGACCCGGGCACTTCGCGTGTCGTGGAAGGTGCGGCCGAGAGGCAGTCGTGCTCCAACTGCTCAGGTGGACAAGTGCGGGGAGCTCCTCGAGGCGCATGCACGTAGCTGGCATGACACCCTGCGACTCGCGAGCCGAGCGAGCTTCAGCCTTGACCCAGCAAACAATCCTGGTGGCAGCACTTACTTAGTAACTACCATTTGAGCAGCAGACCGACGACACCAACCGACCATCGACACGGAGTAACCTACAAGCCTCGACCAGGGCGTGCCGAGCAGCGAGCTCAGCTCAACCCAAGGCCAACCAGATCAAGGGGGAATGTTTGCCAGGCGGCCAACTGACTTTTATAAATTACCACGGAAGACTCGCCCGAGACACGCTTCTCCGCCAGCACACGTTTACGACGTCGAGCTATGAGAGACATGGGAGGCTCTTGTGGCCGCGGACTCTCTTATGCCCCAACCGACAAGAACAAGACCATGTACAGCCAAAGAGCTTCCCCCGCCTTCCAACTATCGACGTCATGAGCTAAATCATGTATGGCAGATAGACGGTCAGGATTATCCCTCTTTTTGGCTGACAGCTTCACCGCGCTCCTCTGGTACTTCGCGTACCCCCAAGCACCCGGTCATTATCAGACCCATCCATCCCATTGGACGAGGCGCAGGGGGCCGATCTTGCTGTCGTTGACCCCAGCTTCATCTTGCGTCATGTAGTTATTTTTGCGGTTCGCTGTGGACAACAACGACCAAGGCAATTATCAGCCTACGAACACGCCGTCCCTAATGCCCCTAGGTTCCGGTGGGATTCATCAATACCAAGCTGTGTGTGCGTGGTGGCACGCATCACAACCAGCGGTACAGAGTACAATTCTGCACAAGGACTATGGAGTACTGCTCTGTACGGGCAGCCAAGTCCCAGCATAAAATAAAAGTCAGAAAATGAGGTGCAAATTATCTCTCCGTTATCAAGCATGGCTTTCGACCATGGCACAAAGCACGCTACACCAGCTGCTCAACTCCGCCTCAACAATACTATTCATCCATCGCTTTACTCCCCACCTTGGTCTGTTCTCTCCGCGTGGAGACGCAACTTCCGTCGACCTGACAGCTGAGCAAGACAAAGGGATTTTCGGAGTAGTCATGTCCCCATCGCATCCGTGATGGATGCCAGCAAGTGTGCACTGAGACCGACTACGGGGTACTAGACTTGATAGGTACTATTCTCCCACCTTCTCTGGTCGCACTGTCCAAGGAGCTCCTGCGTAGATCTCCGCCGTGCCGGCCGGTTAGGTGCGATGAAACATCCGTCAGCTGGCTACATGTTATGTTACCCATCCCTTGTTGCCCTCCCGGTACTAGCGAGCGGCCTCGGTGACAGAGAACGGGAGCGGGGATTTGCCCAGTATGCATACAGATCCAATCAACTACTGCTTAATTGTCGACTTTTCAACTTTCATTGACCAGACTCACCGTCCAGCATGACCCCCGTCATGAATATTTCAACGTGAGGCAGAACCGCACCTGAAGTACGCTGATTGCAGCTTGTGCCATGTGCAATTCTTCTGTTTTGTTACTTACTTGAGCAACTAAATTACGGCTCCAACAACACATTGGGATTGTCCACGCCTAGTATGGGTGACTGGACCAGGGTACGCTACCTAAACTGGACACAAATGAGATCTGTCATATCTAACCTGTCTAGCTGCTCGTTTGACGACCATTAAGATGCATGGCTCGACCCTTCAAGATGGCGTTGCCCCTTCAAGATACAACCGGACAAGGACGCGCTTGGCTGACTGCCCCAACCAGAACAGATCAAGGGTGTCATTTCGTTTCCGACGACCGCACGCAATTGATTGTCTCTGGTTCACATATGTACAATGGCAATACTAGTCAGTTTGCTGGATAGATGAGATATACGCCCGAGCAGCAGCGCACCCATGGCTTGAGGCTTATGCCTTGGTCGACAACTCCGCACCCGTTGACTTTTTTTCGCTCGCTGTCCGTTCATCTGATGGTATTTGAGAAGAAAAAGAAAAGCAACTACGAGTCAATCACGAGGGAGCCCGACCAGTGTGAGTCTTGCGACCAGGCCCGACCCAGGTTGTTCTGCCCGAGAAGGGTGGCGGCAATAGGACGTAGCGACTTCTTGTCGTCGTGTAAGTCGGCCTCCGGTTTCTGATTACATGAGGGAGTGATCGTCCAATTCCTGGCGCTTGGCGCGATCCTCGATCAGGCCCGACAGGGGAGGGCGGTGCACTTGCCAGGGTGTGTCACGGCACCCTATGGAGCGGCATTCACCCTGTCTGACCGTTGGTTGTGAGCGAGTCCAGCCCTCGCGCATCACCATGCCGTCTCTGAGCTTCTCCAGTATCAATTCATCTCGTGGCCTGTGTCGGGAGTTCTGCCTCGTGCATTCACGCAGGCTTGAAACATCTCAGACATAAAGGTGTATGTATACGTCAAGCACTCTTTCATGCCGTCATATCCTCATCCTCGGAGGCCTACTTATCAGCTTTAAACCACATTTCTCCCTAGTTTCACCGAGAGAGAATCCAATCATTCAACCCACCGGGGCTAAGGCGTCTCCAGTCCTCTGCACGCCCCACGAATACGGCGCCGGCTGGCTTTGGTCGCCTCTTCTGAATCGAGCACAGCGACTAGGTATCAAAGTGCCGCATCGACTAATTCAGATGAGTCTCATGGCGCTGTGTGTCACGCGCGGTCACCGACGCTCCCCGTGTGTTTTGCGACCTGTGATAGCGCGGCGCCAACACACTCTCTTCTTAAAGTGCTTATGTCCACGCTTGTTGCATGGGCGGCCTCGAGCTAGCTGCGGCCACGCAGTCTATTCGTGTCTCTTCCACCTCGCCTCGGGTATGGAGGTTCGGAGACATGTCTTTTCCATATAATGACTGGACCCCCATGGCCCAAGGCCAACACGACGTCACCAACCATGCCCAGGCCACGTCTAACCGACAACCTCAACCATCTCCTGGACTGCCGAGTGAGAAGACGGGTTCAAGTAACCGCCTTTTTGCACAATCATATGGGCCACCCATAACCGCCTCGAGCATCTCAGGCCCAGGCCGTGATGTCGGACTTACTTCCTCGCAAAGCTCTGCAGAAGCATTCCTCCCTGTTCACCCGTCCCCGTCAAACTTGAACAGCCGATCATACCCAACGAGCACACGCAACCCCGAGGTAGATTTCTTTCCGCCGCCATACCAAAAATGTCCACAGCCATCAGGCTACTCGTCCGAGCTACCTTTCGATACCAGCATACCGCAGCAACCAGTCGTGAAACCCACGCAGAAGCACCCAAGCTATCAGAAGGAACCCCAGGCACAATTGCCCACCCAATCTCGCCGGAGCTTTCGAGGCAGTGATATGTCCGACATCCCTAATCTTTTGGGTCAAGACAGGATGGACGCCTTAACGGGCATCATGTTCAGCCTCAGCATGCGGCAGCAACCACAAGCCGCAAGGGCCTGTGGATTCGGCGACAGGGACAGGAGAGTCATTGATCCGCCACCAATTGTCCAACTCTACATCGAGGGTCCTTCCCTATCTAGGGATGAAGCTAGGTTGTATCTACGATATGAAAGTTACGTCATGAATTGCTCAATATGTGATGAGTCAGGGACACAAGACGCATCATTCATGCCTGAGGAATATCAGCATCAAAGACGACTTATGGGATCACTTGTCGGTACGCCTTTTGTCGGACAGGACGATCGTGGTGAGGAGGGCTGCTTCTTCTGTTTCTCGGATCTATCATGTCGAACTCCCGGGGCGTTCCGTCTTAAATTTACGCTTATTATGATAGACCCGGCCCGCGCCGGCGTAATTCGACATTTCCCCGTACTCACCGAGATTGTGAGTGATGTATTTCATGTATACAGCGCCAAGGAGTTTCCGGGCATGCTGCCGAGTAGCAGCTTGGCCAAACGGTTAAAAGAACAAGGATGTATTATTTCCATCAAGAAGGGCAACGACCGGTCCAAGAACGCCAGAGGACCAGATGAATTATCTGAAGAAGAAGCAGGGGAAGGTTCTCAAAGAGAACAAAAACGGCGTACTGTTGGGGACTAAATCAAGGCAGAATGGACAATGAAGGGTCGGAAAGCTATCAGGAGCACAGCAAGAAATGTTCGTCCCGTCTTTCGGACTTGCTACTCTTTACGAACTGGGACAACTTGATAGACGGAATGGAAAAATTTTGTACACGACGGCAACACGATTTACGGGGCGGCAATCTCGGGGCGGCGTGGATCGCAATTCATCGGAGTTTGAGGGACATCAGCCTCCGGCCGGTGCGTCATGCTCGATACCGCGATACTTTGTGCAGGTCATTGCTCCTCAGCGAAGCTTTATTATACCCCATTATCTCACGCACATGGCTTGATTGAAGCATCTTCTTTCATACTTCGTAATGGCTAACTCGTGTTCATCTTGGAGAATCGAATCACACAAAGATCTCAGGTTGCCACCATTGCAATGCCCTTGGAAGCTATGCTGCCGGAAAAGGAATGCTAATACCTGTTTCGGATTATCAATGCGAGGCGAGCTACGTTTTAAAGCGGCATGCTACTAACGACACCATTTGGATTTGATTGGTATTGAAACACAGAAGCTATCAGGCAGCGGGAACAGGACCAGCACAGCAGCTAGGTCAGTCTTCCCAGGAAGAGTGATTGGGACACCAGGAGCGGAACATGTTCTCTGCGACAAAATATACTTTTGACTAACCATTCGGGATCAAGCAAGACCCAGGCTATGAGTGCTTGCTCAGATTGTAGGCGCTCTCGTTTGCGTCGAGATGACTTCCAGTGTCGGCCGGCACTTGTTGCCACATGATGGTGGCGCATGGCGTCGACACATTCAAACCTCAACGTGCACGACCGGCAACTTCAGCGATGAGACCAAGGAATCTGCTTACCCTCTGTTGTGAAGAAAAGAAGAAGAAGGGAAAAAGAAAGAAAGAAAGAAGACGACGGATGTACTCCGTACAAGGAGAGTTGATGAATTCCGCGCTGCGGCCGCAGGACTTGTCAAGGGCGAGCGAGCCATTTGGCTTCTTGAACCAGCATCAATACCGCCCGTCAGCGACTGCGTGTTACTATACCAGACACGCCTGATCGCTGGCTCGGTGGGTAGTCGGTGGTTTTGCTCTACTCCGTACGCGCACACTGGAGGCGCGAGGGGGCGAGAAGATTGCTCATTGTTCCGCAAATAGCATCTCGGCTTGGTCAATCTGCTGCGTAATTTTCTTTGAGCCGGCAACGTGCATGATTAATATTGTCAGTGGCAGACCAGGGCGCAATCGGCACGGTGCTGAAACGATGACGGGGCATCCAGAGCCTTGCAGTCAGTCAAGACATGGATGTCTGTTGGGGAGCCGAACGGACGAAGCCAGCGTCTGTCTGGTTGGCGTGCATCAGCATCATCATGATGGATGGCCGACTCATGCCATGCAGTGACAGACTACAGAGTACAGATGTGTACGGAGCACGTAACGTACACATACATAACTACATACGGAGTAGGGGCGTAAGAATGCAATTCCGTGTGCAACAAGACTGCAGCTGTCCCTTGTAACGGCCGAATGGTCGAAAACGGCAAGGCAAGAAAACCCACGTCGGGGAGGCGCCGCGCCCAAGGATGGTTGGTTGGCGAGGTTGAAGGCCTCTGTCTGTCTGGTCGTGTGACTGCGAAGTCAGTCAGTTGTAGTGTTTTTATTTTTGTCCCCGGTTTGATTTTTGATTGTTGTCAAAATGAAACGATGATAACAAATTACGGCACTCGAGTCCGAGATGAAAGTGCCATGCCTCCCTCGGCCGGGGGACAAACCAACAGATCTACGGATAGACAAGGTGACGAGGTGAGTTGGTCGACGGTTTTTTTCTCTTTTTTTCTTCTTTTTCTTTTCTCTTTTTTTCTCGGTGGGGGACAAGACAGACCCAGCCGGCGAATCCAACGGCGCCGCTGCCGTTGACCTTCTTGCTCGGCCGCTCAAATCTGACGTCCCCAGCAAACCGACCAATCGGGTGGCGTAGGCTCTGCGCCCTGCGCTAGCGCGTTTCATGCTGGGCGGGCATTTTGAATCTTGGAGGGGGAAGGAGCCCTGGGGCCTGGGCAGCCGTGCTGGGATTCATAAAGTGCCCAGGAGCCAGGACCATTCACACACAGTCCACAGCCCACAGCTTGCTTCATCGGCCATTGCAAATTGCAACTCACGAGACAGCCAGCCAACCAGACAGCCTACTCCGTACTCGACTTTGGACTGATTTCTGCTGTCCTTGGAGACGGGGGCCGCGCGCCTAAGGGCACGCACGGAGTAGTGCTCGGTACATGCCACGCGTCCAGCCTGCTCCCTAGTCCAGTACTGACTAGTTACTTACTTGAGTAGTATTCCTCGGCACCAACACGTTGAACCGTTGACGAACGACTCCCCTCCTGCATTCCCTTGTCGAATTCGGAGCACCGATTGCAGAGTGACTGTACATACTCCGTACAATGCTCCGTAGAGTACGTACGGGGTAGTGACTTTAATACGGGGTCGGCAACCCGGTCCTCTGGGTGTCGTCACCGAATGTTATCAGGGGGAAAAGGGAAAACCCCTCAAACCATCATTAAAAAGTGGAGCGTGGCTCCGTACGGAGTAAGAGCCCAGTTGGCATTGTCGTGTTGTTGCTCCAGCCGGCGGCCATGCAGAACCACATGACACAACGTCAATCGAGGACACACGTACATACTTCAGTGCGTTGACCATGTCAGGACATGACGTGGTACCAAGTAGGTACCCGGGCACTTGAGTACTTGCGTGCTTACTTGGTAGTCCCAGACTCCCAGCACTCCGTACGGACTCTGCGATACCATGAAGAAGCAGGTGGGTTTGTGCGTCGTCAACGTGCACATTACCGTTGCACACACCAAAGGCAAACGTCAGCCAACCCGGCGCTGGCACCAGAGCGCATGCAGGTACGGAGTTGCGGACATGGTCCTTCAAGGTGCAGGCCATGACCCTGTCGACCTTGGCGCTGGCGTCAAGCGAGCTGCACTGACTGTCGACGAGATTTATCAGCCCCTCGTGCATTCTCCTCGCTGGGTATCGACCTGCAAACTTCAAACGAACGCTTGGGGCCGAGATTGCCGTGCAGCTCATTGGCTTACTCCAGTCCAACGGCACGCGCCAATGGCGGACAGCAAATTACACACAATTTGAATGCGCGGCCCCGGAGCCCGGTGTGCGTTGCGTTGCGTTGCGTTGTGTTGTGCGGTGTGTGTGCGCAGAGTGTGCAGTCCCTCGTGCGCTGCAGATACTCGTCCGTATTGGACGTGACGTTCTTGTTGGTCTTGGCCGTGGCCGTCGAATCCTCCCATCTCCGCCATCATGGAACGCTCTCCTCGACTCTCCTTCTCTTCTGCCCTTTTTCCTTTTCCTTTCTTTATATGCAGCTTGTCTGCCTGGTGTTGCTTTCTCTCGCTCCTCCCCCTCCTCTCCCTCCTCCTTCTTCTTCTCCCCTCCAGTCTTTGTGAAGGCCGCCGAGCACGTCCTCCGCCTTATCTTCGTAACCCAAACAGCTTTGTGTGCTGTTTGTTTCGCTCCTTTTCTGCGCCGCGAGTTCTGGTCATCCGCGCGCTTCGTCTCTGCCCTCACAATCTTTATGGTGCTCTGGCAACACCACAAAGCCAACATCGCTATATACACTCCTTGACGTAGCAAGCCTAGACATCCAGGCGTTTCTTTCTTTCTGATTTCCTGCTCTTCTGACCTACTCAAGACCTTCCTTCGTCAACGCCTCTCCTGCTGTCACAACCACCTACACGGTGAGCATCATCATGAAGTTTCACGCCCTAGCCGCTGCTGCGGCCCTTGTCGGCACCGTTTCGTCCGCCAAGGACAAACGGACTTTTGCCGTTCTTCGCTTCACCAACAAGCAGCTCACCAAGGGTCGGATGGACCCTATAGTCAGCCCAGGCCAAGCGTCTGCTCACGTCCACTCCATTTTCGGCGGCAGCAACTTCGGCCTCAGCTCGACTGGCAAGGAGCTGATGGACTCAAACTGCAGCACTGCCATGATCAAGGGTGACAACAGTAACTACTGGGTCCCCTCTCTCTACTTCAAGGATCCAAAGAACGGCAAGCTGGAAGCAGTCGAGCTGTTTTACGCCAACGCCTATTACTTGTATGCGTATACACCGTCTCCGTCCCGCTGTAGACCGCGTCAATTAACTGTGTCCTCGTTGTAGTTTCGAGCCGACCAATGATGATATCAAGGCATTTCCAGTTGGGCTCTCCATGGTCATCGGAGATCCCAGTCTGCGAACACCGCCCAAAGGTGGCGCCACTTCCAACCTCGACCCTTCCAAAGGTCCCGTGAACCCTATCAAGTACACCTGTCCTCGTTCAAACTTGGATCGTCCGGCATATCCCTCGGGCTCCGACGGTTTCATGGCGGGCATGCAGGACCCGGGCAACAAGGGCGAGGGCGTTGGCTTTCCCGACGTCGACTGCGACGGATATGCGTCACCCTTGCGGGGAGATGTTCACTTCCCATCGTGCTACAATCCTGCTGCCGGCCTGACCAACTTCAAAGAAAACATGGCATTTCCCTCTGACGCCGGCAATGGAAAATCAGACTGCCCCAAGGGGTGGATCCACGTTCCTCATCTCTTCTTGGAAGTCTACTGGAACACTCCGCTTTTCAAGGACCGGTGGGAGCAGGGGAAGGGTCAGCAGCCCTTTGTTCTCTCCAACGGAGATGCCACGGGCTACAGCAACCACGCAGACTTCATGGCTGCCTGGGACGAAAAGCTCCTCCAACACATCATCGACACTTGTGACGCGGGCAGTCAGGGCATGGACAAATGTCCTGGACTCAACGGCCTGAACAAGGGTGACTGCATTATCAAACCGGCGGTGGACGAAACCGTTGACAGTGTTCTGGATGTGCTCCCTGGAAATAATCCCGTTACTGGTTGGCATCACGGCGGAGGTGGAAGCAACGGAGGTGACGGTCAGCCAAAGGCATCGCAGTCCCAGTCTTTGAAGGGGGACAGCACGGCGAAACCATCCAGCACCAGCCAAGTTGGCGGCGACCACACCAACACTGCCAAGCCCACCAACTCCCAGCCTGCTGCATCGCACAACTCCGGCCAGCTCTCGAGCACCGCGCCCGCAGGAGCAGGAGGCGACAAGCCAACTTCGACCAAGAATCCCAATGAGCCACAGGCTACCTCGGAGGCGAGCGTTTCCAAGCCCACGATGCCTTCTAGACCATCGGCATGCACCGCCAAGGTTCACACTGTTTATGAGACAGTGACTGTAACGGGGCAATTGCCAGGAACCACTGTTCACCCTGACTCGTCCAACTCAACCCGTACCGCCGGAGATTTCAAGTATGCTGGCTGCTTCAAGGACTCGGGAACCCGTGCTCTCAGTGGCAATGTCCGTCCCAACCTGGGCGCCATTGACAACACCAAGTGCGCCAACCACTGCAAGGAAGCCGGCTATGTTCTCTCGGGCACCGAGTACGGCGGCCAGTGCTATTGCGGCAACGAACTGGTCGGATCGGAGAAGCTCGACGAATCAGCCTGCAACATGGCTTGCGAGGCCGACAAGAAAGATGTATGCGGAGGGGGCTGGGCGCTCAGCGTCTACAGCAAGGATGGCCAGGCAAGCTTGAAGGGTGCTAAAACCCGAAGACATGCTCACGAGCACCTTCAGCGACATCGGAGCCCGCACTACTAGGTTTGTCCGTTGAGTCTATGGTTGCCAAATAGCTTGATTTCACGCCACGGCCGAGAGCGACGGGGAGGAGGCGACGTTTGCAGTACCAGACAGCGGGGTGGTTGGCATCTGGGGATATTTCATGAACATATTGCCTAGGGATTTTAGAAAATGGCCGGGTTTTGGTTTTTTTTTGGATGCTTCGATTCTTGTCGCTGTATTTTATGGGCTTTTTTGGTGGGGGATTCTATTCGTCCTCCGACGAGCTTGCGCGGCCAATTTTTTTTCCCTGGCCGACGGCTGTTGGAGAGTTGGCCCTTGGGGGCACCAACTTTATATTTGACGTGCAGCATTTGGGATGCTCCGTCATTCCTGGGCAGACTAGGTAGACGAAATGCAGGCGCGCTCTACCTGGTGCACTGTTGCTTTGCGGTAGATGAGCCCCTGGGTGATGTGTACCGCGCCTCTTGTGCTTGCTGCTGCTTGTGTCCCGCCCGCATCGACGTCGACTCGGCGGCGGTGGTGCCGAGTAAATCTGAATTACTCCGTAGGCACCGGACTACGAAGTACCAAGGCGTCAGTTGGATGCCTGTGCATGACCCTTGTACCTTGTAACTACTAGTACACGGTGTTGCACCCCTGCACGTTTGGGTTGCGGCCCGCCCGCCCGAGTAACTACGTGTCCCCGTGCAAGTCGGGAGAAGTCCGGCTGGCCAAATGCTCCCATCTTCAAGGATGGCCGGCTGGTGTCTTTGGACCGGCCACAACAACACGACGTGGCCCTCTGGCCGACAATGCACCGAATGCCTCGGCGGTGTCTTGGATGAAATAAAAAAAAATGTCTCTGTACCACGAGGCCGCCGATGTCCTGTCGGCGTCCCCCCAGGAGGGGGGCAGCTTGAAAGCGCGAGTGTTTCGAAGAAAGGGCGTCAAGTCGTCGCCGAACCAGCTCTACGCCCTGGTGTCGGAGACTTGGAAATGGAGCGCCGTCCTGAAGGAAGTCATAGAGGGGGCTGGCATACTCGGAACCGAGCGCAAGGCAGGTAGCCCTCCTCTCGCCCTTGTTCTCTTTGCGGGCCAACTAACCCGTGGGAGCAGCTGACGCCGGCTCTGGCCCTGCTCCTGGTGCACGACCTGCTGCTCGCCAAGGGCGGCATCGCGCTGCCGCAGAGCCACGGGCTCCGGTCCAGCGTCGAGAGGCACAAGGCGCGCCTCGGCGCAGAGTTCACTCGGGCCAGGCTGCGGCGCGGAGCACCGTCGGTCGAGCTGCTCGCGGCCCGGGTCGAGAGGGCGGCGGCCGGCGAGGAGGCCGCCCACCCGCGCTGGGTGCGCGTCAACGCCCTCAGGAGCACCCTTGAGGAGCAGCTCGAGACCACGTTTGCGGGCTTCTCCAGGGCCGCCACCGTGCGGGAGGTGCTCGCCGGGGAGGGCAGGCACGTGCTCGTCGACCCTCACGTGCCCAACTTGGTGGCCGTCACGCCGCGGTGCGACCTGAGCAGGACGGAGGCGTACGGCGCCGGCAAGATCATCCTGCAGGACAAGGCGTCGTGCTTCCCGGCGTGCCTCCTGGACCCTGGGCCGGAAGACGGCGACGTGATTGACGCCTGCGCCGCGCCGGGCAACAAGACCACGCACCTTGCTGCCGTTATGCGCAGCCGCGAACCTGGGTCTGCGTCGCGGCCGCAGACGCAGACGCAGACCATCTTTGCGTTTGAGAAGGACGCTGGACGGGCGAGGACGCTGGAGAAGATGGTCAGGGTGGCGGCGTCGGACGGGATGACGCGCGTTGCCGCCGCGCAAGACTTCTTGCGGGTCGACCCGGAGTCGGAGAGGTTCAGGGCCGTCGGCGCCTTGCTGTTGGATCCGAGCTGTTCGGGGAGCGGAATCGTCGGTCGGGATTCAATGCCGCAACTTCACCTACCCGACTCTGGACGAGACGGTGCGAGGCCCGGCAGGCCCAGGCAGGCGTCGGCAGGTGGGCGCAAAAGGAAGCACGAGCAGGTGCAGGGCTCCGGTCAAGCGGTCATCCGCGACGACGACGGAAACGAGACCATTGTCAAGTCGGAAAAGGACGTGGCCGAACGGTTGAAGGCACTGGCTGCGTTTCAGCTGGCCGTCTTGCTGCATGCATTCCGGTTCCCGTCTGCCAGGAAGGTGACCTACTCCACGTGCTCGGTCCACCCCCAAGAGAACGAAGACGTCGTCATGGCGGCGCTAAATTCTGACATTGCAAAGGAGAGAGGGTGGCGCATCCTGAGGAGAAGCGACCAGGTCGCGGGGATGAAGGCGTGGCCTGTGAGGGGCAGCGCCGAGGCGTGCATCGGAGATGAGGAAGTGGCCCAGGGGTGTATCCGGTCGTACAAAGGCGACGGCCACGGCACCATGGGCTTCTTTGTGGCGGGATTCGTGCGCGACACCACGACCGAGGACGGAGATGGGGGTGGCCCGTATGTGCGGAATCAAGGTGGCGCCATGGTTCGAGATGTGCTCGGCATGCCGGGGTTGAGGGCTGCCGGGACTGCCGTTCCTCTTGTATGCCGGGGCGGCGATGCCAGCCAAGAAGGGAGCGCCATCGGCAGCGACGAAAGCCGTGGTGGTGGTGGTGGTGGTGGAGGAGGCACCAAGGCGAACCGAGACGGCGACGACGCCGAGGAGAGTGAATGGGAGGGCCTCGGAGACTAGCAGCGGTGCAAGCTACGCACGTGTGTTTGGCGCAGGTGCCAGATGTCCGTATGGGTTGATAGTCAGGCTATGTATGCCAGCGGCATCATCTGCTGCCCAGCGCAATATCTCATTCACGGTGCCCAAATTGTCAATGACGTTTTTCGGCAGGATGGATTTGACATTTGACCGAGTCCTGCAGGTGGGGCCCTGGGCGGGGCCCACGACTCGACTCGACTCGCCCTGTCAACCTCCAGATTCTGGCTCGTCTCGACATTTGGACCACACCAGACGAGAAGAGGTCACTAAGTTTGAACCAGCTCTCTCCCCCGCCAGCGGCAGAGAACCTCTTCGGCTATACCTGCAACGCTCCGGAACGCACCTCTCCACAGCATTCCTCTGCGAGCATTGGGTCAGACAGAGTCCAATCGGGTGTCCACCTCTGTCCAATGAGACTCTGTTGCTGGGCGGGTTGATATATATATGCATATATATCAACGTGCCCAAGTACAAGTCACTGCCGCCCCGGCTCCTCACGCAACAGTTCTGCCGCGCTCCACGACGTCTCTGCGGCCTTCACCATTGCAGCCGCCACCATGGCGATGAAGCACGAGGCTGTGGCCTCGTCCTTGGACCCCAATGCACACAACACGGGGGCGGAGAACCGACGGAAGCGGACGCTGGGCCATGTTCGACTGATGCATCACGACACCAACGCAATAATTCTAGTCCCGACACCTTCGTCGGATCCCATGGACCCGTTGAATTGGTATGTAGATTCATCTCCATCCGGTCACTGATGGCACTTGTCGGGTTGCTTTGCAGCGGCGCGCTGATTCATCCTCCTTTTGTGGCAAAGGCCAGCGTGGAAGAAGAATTACATTGCGACGCTTCTCTGCATCACCATGGCCATGTCCAACTTTCTTGCGGCTGGCCCGACCATTGCCATTGTCGATACCGCGCTTGACTTCTTTCCCGATGCTATCCGGACGAATTCCCTCATGACTGCCGCAGTTCCCAGCGTAGCCTACTTCTTCACCACCACCTCCTTGCTTCAGGGAACCGGAAATCTCTTCTGGGTCCCAATGGTCAACAAATGGGGACGTCGACCGGTGTACGTCTTCAGCTACCTCGTTTACTTTGGAACTTCCGTGTGGCTCATCTTCGACAAGTCATACGGCGGCTTCCTCGCCGCGAGGATCTTGATGGGGTTTGGTGCTGGCGCCGCGGAAACCATTGCGCCCATTTCCATTGCCGACGTCTTCTTTCTTCACCAGAGAGGACGCGTCATGTCGTCATACACCTGCTTCCTGTCCATTGGTGTTGCCGTCGGATTGATCATCTCCGGCTTGATCACCGTTCATCACCATTGGCGCGCAATCTACCAAGTCGGTTCAGCTCTCGTTGGATTCATTCTCCTACTGGCCATTTTCACCTTTCCCGAGACTGCCTATCCCCGAGAAAGGCTCGTTGGTACCCCGCATACCGGCTTGATGGACGAGACCAAGTCCCACGGCTCCTCTCCGTCTGAAGTGGAGGCAAGTTCCCAGACTGTCCCTAAGAAGCGCACATACCTCCAGTCACTCAACATCTTTTGCGGTGCCTTGACCAAGGAAAACGTGTTCCGGATGATGATTCGTCCTTTCGGTCTCATTCTTCTACTGCCCGTTCTCTGGGCTGCGCTTGTCCAAGCCGCTACGATTGGATTCTTGGTTGCCGTGTCGTCCAACGTCGATCCCGCCTTCGAGCAGACGTACCACTTCAAGCCCTACCAAGTAGGACTGTGTTTCATATCTGCAATCGTAGGGTCATTGCTCGGTATCCCGGCCGGTGGGCATTTCGGCGATGTAGTTGCGGACCATCTCACCAAACGAAACGGTGGGATCCGCGAGCCCGAGATGCGACTCCCAGCGGTGACATTGTCCGTCATAACTTCACCCCTGGCGCTTGTTCTTTACGGCGTCGGCATCGAGCACAAGCTGCATTGGATATGCCCGACCGTGGGGCTAGGTCTTTGTAGGTTGATCTCTCGGCACGGCTGACGAGAAGGATGTCTAATGAAAATTGCTAGTGAATTTTTCCATCACCCAGGCCACAAACATTTGCTTGGTGTACGTCATCGACGCATATCGGCCGGTTGCAGGCGAAGTGACGCTGGCCGTCATGGGATTCAAATGTAAGTGCTGTCCGAAGCTGGGTTGGTGCGTCATCGGGACGAGAGTTTTGACGATGAACAGCTCTGTTTGGTTTCTTGTTGTCGTTTGAGACCAATCCTTGGATCAACGTGAGCGGCTACCAGAACGCCTACGGAGCCATGGCTGGAATTTCCGCAGGTGTCCTCATCATGTGGGTTCCCTTGTACTTGTGGGGCAAGAGGATCAGGCATGCGACTTGGAAGTGGAGGGTCTTGACGTTTATACATTGGAACGATGACCGTGAGGTTGGAGAGTAGATGGAAAATCCAGGCCTTGACGACACGCTGCGCAGTAGACGCAGGAGCAGGGCCCCGCGTTTCACTGCCAGGGGGCAGCCGACTGAATACAGAACGGGCCGGCTGAAGAAGATGATGGATATCCCACCTCCCAGGTGTATTCGGCCTCATGAGGGGCAGACCTGACGGACGTCACACATGGCAGTCCTTCACACTGGAGAAGCTTGTGTTCCGGGGCGCTTGTGATTGAAGACCAGGCAGTGGCTGGGCTGCGGTGTAGTTTTTTCTCGGCTTAATGAGGATGAAGCAGAGTTCTGGTTGTTCGTGGTCAGTGACTTGATTTCCACAAGTTGCACTTTTCGGCATGACGCATCGTTGGCGCAAACGACGACCCTTGCGGCACCCCGAGGGCACCACCGTCCAGCGGCGAATCGATGCCCGCATGCCTGGTATGCAGAGCACTTGGAATACGCTCATCTCGCAGAAAGTCCCTTCTTGCGACGGTGACAGGCACCCGGGGCGGTGCACGACACGTCGCCGGCGCGATCGAGCTTGACGCGGCGGATGCGTGATTCCGTATGCTTTCGGGGGTTGATGGCTCGTGCTGCTGCTGTGCTTCCTCCCACGGCTGTTGTGGTGTCTCTCGGTTTGTTGTTGCGTACGCCAACCGACCTGTTGCTGCAAGTTGACGCACGGTTTCTGCGTCCAACGAAATGGCGACCTTGCACGTCGAGTCGAGGGTTGAGAGATGCCGTGTTCAGTGTTGGCAGCGGGCTGGATCAACAAGTCGATTTCAATCCTCTCCAATTGGCTGACATGTGCCAGGCAGCCAGCCAACGCCATGCGGCCAACGGCGGAAGCTAGCCAGAGTCTGCGGGTCCGCCGCCTGGCCCAATTACTACGCACCAGTACGGAGTAGCACCGGTAACTACCAGACAAAGTACGGAGTACTCACTACGTACTACTAGTACTCACTACGGAGTAGGTACTTCGGTACTGTCTGGTGGCTGATGGACCCCATGACAGACCACCAGCGAGCGCCAGATGCACCCTGACGCAAGTGTGATCGCGTGCCAACACCGAGAGCCCTTCCCCTCTTCAACTCTTCCCAAGGGTCTGGCGTGGCGTGATGCCGGCGGTCTACACACAGATCGCACGCCTGTTTGCTCATTCATTCAAGACACTGACTGCTGCGTCTGACAGGTTTTGACGCCCTTTTCATTTGTAGTTACTCTTCGATTTTTTTTTTCCGGCCCCCCCTTCGCCCCTGATCCCCGAGTCTGGAACCCGTCCGAACCCGTCCGACCTCGCGCTCGCCTCGGTCAAGTGTCTCACCTAAGCTCAGTCCCGCCGTGCCGACTACAACTCGACACTCAGCCAGCCCAGCGCCTTGTGGCAACCTGCATTTCAGACACCTACTACTAATCTTACCGCTCCATCTCTTCTTCCCCCTCACTTCTTCCTTCCTTGTCTCTCTGCTCGGCCTCATGTTCCAACATGTCGAGCCCTCGAGGCGGGTCAAGCCCCGTCGATAACCACCATGCAAGCCATCAAACCGACTCTCCGCGACCGGAATCTCCAGCCTCACACACAAGCGATCCTATCCACAGCTGTGACTCACCACACTGCTGTTGGCATTTAGCAATTTGCCACCACCAAGATCGTTCCCAGCATCTCGACCGCCCTTCTAACGGGGTCGAACGAGAGCTATTTGATACAGCCCATGTTCACCACACTCGGCGAGGTCGTAATCCAGAAGCAGGGCCAAGCGCCCATGCACAGATCAGCGACATTGAGCAAGATGCATCTCGGCGTCCCTCAACCGACGACGACAGTAATACACGCCCCGGTCCCGGCCGTTTGCATGTGAAAATACAGAACAATTCAGAGTCCGAAACCCCTGAATCCCACCGACAATCGGCCGCAGAATCGGCTTCACGCATTGACACCCAGTCCACTCAAGAGCATCAAGTCCAGCCCACAGTACTTCCCATCCGATCGTCTTCCATTTCATCACCCTCCAACGCTCAAGAACCCGCAGTTCGAGCGTCAGCAAGAGAACAAGTACCGAGCCTGCCAAGTCCAGGGGTCAACTGGGCTGAACCCGAGCCTCATTATCGAGGCGCATATCTGCAAGCGGCTCACCAAGGCGAGCCTCGGAGCATCGAGCCTCTGCCTCGTACAATGGCACACGCACGAGATTTACACCTTCCCCATGCTCCCCACAGACGGCGCGAATCTACGGGTAGGCGGGCATCGCAAGATCACAGAGCGAATCGACCCCGAGGCGACGACAACGTCACACCCGAGTTTGTGCTCCCTAGATGGCAGCCAGACGCGGAAGTCACACTCTGTCCTATTTGTCACACCCAGTTCAGCTTCTTTGTCCGCAAGCACCACTGCAGGTATGCCATCACTGTTTCCCAGACTCCGGCCCGCGACGAATGTGTAAGCTAATGCAGGTGTTAAGAAAATGCGGCCGAGTCGTGTGCGCCACGTGCTCCCCGCACAGGATTATCATACCGCATCAGTACATTGTGAGGCAGCCCGGATCCGAGATTTCGATGCCACCGAGTTTGCTTGTCGACGCTATGGGTGCTGGTTATCTGGACGTGAATGGGTTATCAGGGGGCGAGCGCGTACGGCTCTGCAATCCGTGTGTGCCAGATCCCAACACGGCACCACCTGAGAGTCCGACACTGTCCGTCGCATCTCCACGATCACCACATCAAAGATCACGCAGCAGTTTTGGAGCCTCTCACGGCGCTGGACACGTACCAAACAGATATGAGGCTGTATTTGCCGGAGGAGACAGCCGCGATCCCCTGCAATACCACTATGCCAGAGCCAGGAGCATCACCTTGGTACGTTTTGTTCTCCTTCGCCCTTTACAACACCAAGAAGCGGCCGACCTTGGCTAACAGCCGGGTGTGTGTGTGTGTGTGTGTGTGTTTGTGTATAGAACCCATCTGCCCAGAGTTCACCTAATCTCGCCCCGTCCAACCATCGCATGAGCGCGCCGCACGTCCATCCATCCCATCTAGAGCGCTTCCTTGTCGCTGGCCCATCCAGCATACACCCATCCCCCTCGCGTCGCAGACACGGTTCATACGGTCATGGAGAGGTGGCGTCATCCTCATCTCGACAACGCGCTCTACCACACCCTCCCCCACTTGCCGAGGACGACGAATGCCCTGTGTGTCATCGAGAGCTCCCCGTCCGCTCGTTGCCAGAGTTTGAAACGCTCCGAGAAGCACACATCAACAACTGCATCCAGGAACACAGCGCATATGGCAGCCCCCGTCCTCCGGAGGGACAAGAAACATTGACGCCGCCCATGTTGCCCCGCAGAACCGGCATGTACATTTACCCAGCAACAGAGAAGGACTGCGTCGACGACGCAGAGTGTACTATATGCTTGGAAGAGTTTACGGTGGGAATACCCATGGCTCGGTTGGAGTGTCTGTGTCGATTTCACAAGTCTTGCATATCTGCCTGGTTTGTTCGTCATCCAGGTCGGTGTCCGGTTCATCAGCATGATGGATTTGGATTTTAGGCATTTGCAGTATGGGCAGGGTCACTCTGACTGGCTGCCTCTTCTTTTTCCCAAAGAATGCCACGCACCCCCTCTCTTGCTTGCTGACTGTGGGGTCCCCCGTTTTCTGGGGGTCATTTTAGTCGTCGGTGGTTCATTCATGCTGTGAAGCGTTCAATATTCTGGGCTTGGCGACTCCTCTCATTTCAGATCTGATGCGTCGGCGTTGCGACGGGGTTTTGTTCAAAGCTGGCGTTTTGGGGATGGTTCATGCCGGGATCATATATATATAACGTATATATATATGTGTGTGTGTGTGTGTGTGTGTGTGTGTGCGCGCGCGTGTGTGTATGTTGGTGAAGAGCGAGACTGAGAGACGGGTAGGAACTGCACTTCGAGTCTGAACAAATGATGCACATAATGACGGGAATGGCATGTGACACTTCAACAGGCACCGCCCGTCAATCAACAGTATGCTACATCCAGTTGGGTGTTGGGAGTTGGGAGATTGTCGCGGGAGGGGGGAGGTCATGTCTTGAATGCCAGCGACGTGGCGAGCCGCCCGAACAAAGTTGTACGAGGGCCGCCAGCTGTCCATTTCGTCAGCGTCGACGATTGTGGAGTACATACAGATCGGAGCACGAGGGTCAAACGGTCGCACACAGGCAGAGGTCCAATGGAGCGTGGCGGTGATAGCCAGGGTGTCCGTTTTAAGCAGAGAAGTTGGGACAGGGCGAGATTCGATTCGGCACGGAGTACGGAGTAGTACAGAGTAAAGCCAGACACTACTCCGTGTCATGCACAGGGAACAAGTCAGATACATCATACTCCGTACACGTGCATGCCTTTGATGCTTAAGCTTCGTCAGTTCCGGCCACCCCAACCCCCAGGTACGGAGTACCTGCGAGAACCCAAGGATGATGCATACTACTCCGTATTTGCGTACCTGCTCGCGCAGCAGGTCGCCACTGCGTTGGTTGGTCTCGGCCAGCCATAGAAGCCAAGCCGAGCCGGGCAAGGCTGTGGGGTCGATGGGGCCTTGGGTCCAAGTTCAGCAGGGCCGGGGGGTGCCTCTGGTCCTGGGCCTAGTGTCGTTGGAGGAAAGTCCAGGGATCCATTGATCAATCTGCTGCTGAGACAAGCCAGAGACACATGGGGGCCGTCGGCTCGTTCTCTGCAGATTGTGCTGTGTATTGGAGGTCATCAACCAGGCAAGTGTCTCTTTATTGTGCCCATGCTTGTCGCTGCTTTTTTTTATTCAACTTTTCCTTTGAACCCTTCAAGGGGCTCGGATTTGCTTGCCAGGGAGGTCGCCGCGGGCACTGGCAGCCCGTCGGATTGGAGGATTGGCAGCCCGGATGAAGCGTCACATGAATTGGACGACAATCTGGATGGATGCATCGGCCTGGCTGCACTGCACAGGCAAGGCAGCAGGGAAGTCTTTCCCAAATCCGATCCGCCGGGAGCCACTTGGACGTGGAAGGGGTCGAAGCTCGATCCACTCACGGGCCACCGGGCAGCAGGGATCCATCACGCCCGTTCCGTCTTTTTTCTTTTCTTTTCCTTTCTCCTTGTTTTCACGCACCAGACTGGCCAATTGGCCCAGCTACGTACCGTACTTCCTTTGGTGCTACGCGCTACGTGCTACGGAGTACGTGTTATTTAGCGAGTGCCAAAAACCAAGGCCCAGGGCCCAAGGCGAAAGCCAAAAGCAAAGCCAAAACGCCCCATGCCCGTGGTTCGGGTCATCTACATCCACCCCTCGTGCCTGGCTCATAAACTCGTCTGATACGGAGTACATTGCCAGTATATATCTTGCACGGTACGTACGTACGTGCTTCGGAGTGGTAGTGGCTAATAGCCAGTCCGGCCATCAGACAGCCCATCCACCCGTCGCCAATCCCCCCGGCACCGCGTGCGACGTTGCGAATTCTGGTCTTGTTGTCCAAGTGTCCTTGGATCAGACACCTCATCCTTCATCACTGCCCATTTTTCACTGGCCACCTTTTCTTTCCTTTGTTTCAATTCCGCTCTCGACGATTGTGTCTTGTCCTTTGTATATCGAAACACCGCCTGCGGGCTTCGCCGCCTTCGCCATTGTCTCGGCCAGAGACGTCGAACAGCTGTCTCATCGAGCCCGGCAGCTTGAAGTACACAGTACAGTCACCGTCGCCGTCGCCGTCGCCGTACTGTATTCTCACCGACTCGGCTTTGGTATGCGGTAAGTAAGTTAGTACGGAGAACTGCAAACGTCCCTGCCCCTGTGGCCCGGCTCTGGCTCTGGCTCTGGCTCGAGGATGATACCGTGTGTTCTGGCTACTGTGTTGCGTTGCTCTGCCCACTTTGGTCGCAGCCTTTATCGCTGGTGCCGAACCGAGCACCCCCACGTCATCATCGTCCGTGTGTTGTTCGATGCCCGTCGCTCGTCGCTCTTCCGCTCATTGCTTCACCAGCTCCCCTCGTCCCGTTCCTGCTAACCGCCCTCTGTTACTAGCTGCCAGTGCGCAATCCCGAGAGCTCTAGATGCCATTACCTCGACAGTCTACTCCCAATTGAGACCGACAGCATAGCTTACCATCGTTTTTTTTTTCCAAAGCGTCCCCGGCCTTGCGCCTGCAGCTGGCGTCATGTCTGCCTTGCAGGAGCGCGAGCTCAAGCAGCAAGGCGCCATTGAGGCGGCCGAGGAGAACTTGGTCACCACCGAGCAGGTGGAGAAGGCCATGGTCGAAGAGGCCAAGAACGCCGGTATTCCTGCCTTCAATTTTGATCCAGATGCCACTCTGGAGCAAAAACAAGCTCAAGCTCAAGCTGTAAGCCATCCACTTTTGCGTCCCCCCAGCGGCCAGCTGTCCATCTGTTGGTCGCTGAGTGTTGAACGTCGGACCGTCGCGACCGGCAATACATGTCATGTCGGCTTTACGAGAAGGGGGGCATGAACGTACTGCTAACCCTCTCTTCTTTCCCATCATTGACAGGCAATTCCCCCCGAACTTCAAAGGAGCAGGCGTCCCAAAGGTGCTGCAATCATCACCGACGTCGACGACGGCAAGGGACCTGACGAGGTGCTGCCTGACGTCGGCAAGGCTGGTGTGCTTGACGTCACAACGGATGCACAAGGCAACGACACGACAGGCGCGGGCCTCGGTTCCCGAGAAGCTCCATATTCCCGCACCGGTTGGGCTCCCAAGCTCGGATGGGGTGGCGGCGCAATCGATGCAGAGAGTCTCCTGGATCATTCCACTTGGCTTGAGGGTAGATTGCCTCACAACCTTTACGGAGGTAAGCTTTGATCACGAGGCACCTTGTCTCGCGGCGAGGGCGAAACCACAAAACTATTTTTCTGACCCGGCTTGCACCATCACCCATCATAGACTGGTACCACAATACCGCCTTGATTGTTTTCGCTTGTATTTCCTCATGGCTCGTCGCTGTTTTTGGCGGCGGGCTGGCCTGGATCATGGTCATTATGGCTGTATGTTCCACGTACTACCGTACCTCGCTACGACGAGTGCGTCGCAACTTCCGCGACGACATCACGCGAGAGCTTGCTCTGAAGAATCTCGAGAGCGATCATGAATCGCTGGAGTGGATCAACTCCTTCATGGTCAAGTTCTGGCCCATCTACCAACCTGTTCTTGCGCAAACCATCATCAACTCGGTCGATCAAGTTCTCAGCTCCGCAACTCCGGCTTTTCTGGACAGTCTGAAGCTCAAGACTTTCACCCTCGGCTCCAAGCCTCCTCGCATGGAGCATGTCAAGACATATCCCAAGACCGAGGACGATATTGTCATCATGGATTGGAAATTTAGTTTCACTCCCAACGACACGGCTGATATGACGGCTCGTCAGGTTAAGAACAAGATTAACCCCAAGGTCGTGCTCGAAATAAGAATCGGCAAGGCCATGATTAGCAAGGGCCTCGACGTCATTGTGGAGGACATGTCCTTCTCCGGAATCATGCGACTCAAAATCAAGCTCCAGATTCCTTTCCCCCACGTGGACAGAGTCGAAATGTGCTTTCTCGAGCGCCCCTCGATTGATTACGTCTGCAAGCCTCTTGGCGGTGACAGCTTCGGGTTCGACATCAACTTCATTCCCGGCCTCGAGAGCTTCATCCTGGAACAGATTCACGGTAATCTGGCGCCCATGATGTATGCGCCCAATGTCTTCCCCATCGAAATCGCAAAGATGCTCGCTGGCACGCCGGTTGACCAAGCCGTCGGCGTCCTTGCGCTCACCCTACATGGCGCACAAGGCCTCAAGAACTCGGACAATTTTGCCGGCACAGTCGACCCATACGCTTCCATCAGCTTCAGTCGTCGCCAGGAGCTCGCCCGAACCAAGACCGTCGAGGACAATGCGAACCCGAAATGGAACGAGACGCACTACCTCATCGTTACATCCTTCAACGACACCGTCGACATTCAGGTGTTCGACAAGAATGAATTCCGCAAATCCAAGGAACTCGGCGTTGCCACATTCCGCCTGGAACATCTCGAGGAGCTCCATGTTCATGAGAATGAGCGACTGGAAGTCATTGGTGATGGTAAAGCTCGTGGTGTGGTATCCTGCGATTTGCGCTTCTTCCCCGTGCTTGAAAGCAAAACTCTGCCTGATGGCAAGGTTGAGCCGGCGCCAGAATCCAACCAGGGAATTCTCCGTTTCACTGTCGAGCAAGCTAAAGATCTGGATGGAACCAAGAGTTTGGTCGGCCTCCTCAACCCATACGCAGTCATGCTCCTCAACGGCAAGAAGGTCCACCAAACTAAGATACTCAAGCGCACCAACAACCCCATTTGGGACAATGGCTCCAAGGAAATTCTCATCACGGACCGACGCAAGGCTAAACTGGGTGTCACTGTAAAGGATGATCGCGGTCTCATCAGCGACCCCTCTCTCGGAATGTATCAGATTAAACTCGATGAAATCCTGGACTGCATGGCGCAGGGCAAGGAGTGGTATCAGCTGTCTGGGGCTCAGTCTGGCCGCGTCAAGATGATGGCTCAGTGGCGACCCGTCGCCATCTCTGGCGTCATCGGCACGGGTGGTTACTCTACTCCAATCGGTGTCATGCGGTTGCACTTCCAAAAAGCCAATGACTTGAGAAACTTTGAGTCATTTGGCAAATCGGACCCTTATGTTCGGGTTTTGCTTTCCGGCATTGACAAGGCAAGGACGGTTACGTTCAAGAATGACCTCAACCCCGAGTGGGACGAGGTCCTCTATGTTCCCATTCTCTCTCCCCGCGACCGTCTCACTCTTGAGGTTATGGATGCTGAAAAGATGGGCAAGGACCGCAGTCTTGGTTTGGTCGAATTGTTTGCTGGGGATTTTGTCCACCAAGAAGCGACAGGCGAATACATGGTAAATGACAAAAAGTCGGTTCGCAACGAAGGACTGCGGTTACATGGAAAAGGCATTGCCAAAGGGACACTCACTTACACCGTCGCCTTCTACCCCTGCCTCAACGTTGCAGATCCGGAAGAGGAGGAGGAGGAGGAGGAGGAGGAGGAGGAGGAGACCGAAGCCGCCAAAAAGGCAGAGAAAGCCAACGGCAAAGCAAATGGTAAAGCCAATGGAAGAGCCAACGGTAACGCTACTGGAGACAAATCCGAAGAAGCCCCACGGGCTTCCGTTGATCGCTCTTCCAATGCCGGTAAATCCAGAGCTAGTATGGACAAGCCACAGGCAAATCTGGAAAAGGTGAATTCAAATGGAGGAAGTGACAAAGCAGACTCTGAAACTGCGGGCCGATGCTCGGTCGAACGGCAAGGCCCTCCCAAGGTCCGGCTCAGCCCTGAAGAGCTCCTGAGACACCAAAGTGGTCTCCTCATCTTCCGCCTCCTTGAAGCTGAATTGCCTGAAAGCCACAGCCGCCTTGAAGTATTTGTTGATGACATGGCGTATGCCTCTTACATTTCTTCCACTTCTCCGTCCAAGGTTCACAAGTTTGACGAAATTAGCGACTGTGTGATCCGAGAACTTGACTTCTCCCGTCTCACTCTGAAAGCGCGCAAGAAGGGTGACGACAAGGACCAAACTTTGGCTCAACTCACTGGAAATACCATGGATACGCTCAAGCAGTGCTTGGTAAGTGCATGAGAGGGGGAGACTACATCGTGACAGAAGTTACAAACAAAAAGAGGTGCTAAATTCTACGTCATAGAACAATCCAACAATGCTCAAACTGCGAACTGATGACGGCAAGGATGGTTGGGTCAAGGTTAGCCTTAAGTACATCCCAATCAAGATGGAGCTGGATCCGAGCGAAAGCATCAACAACATGGGCAAACTTCGTGTGGATGTCCTAGATGCCAAGGAACTGCCGTCTGCGGACCGGAACGGAAAGAGTGATCCATACTGCAAATTTGAGCTCAACGGCGAGGAGGTCTACAAGACCAAGGTCATCAAGAAGACGCTGAATCCAACATGGAACGAGTACTTTGAGGTTGCTGTTCCCTCGCGGACCGCGGCAAAGTTCAACGTTGACGTGTACGATTACGATTTCGCCGACAAGCCTGACTTTTTGGGCGCAGCTGTCATCAAAGTAGACTCTCTAGAGCCGTTCAAGGCCAGTGAGTGCACATATACACTGGACGGAAAGTCGGGTACCATTCGCCTGCGACTGCTCTTTCGGCCAGATTACGTCACAAGAAGCATCCATGGAACTTCAACATTTTCCGGCCTGGGGGCTCCCACCAGAATCGTTACAGGCGTTGCTGGAGTCCCCATCAAGGGAGGCGCCGCTGTAGCTGGCGTTGTCGGCCATGGCGTCGGCAAAGGCGCATCATTCTTGAAGCGTGGTCTCCTTGGCGGCAAGAAGGAAAAGGAAAACGGATCCTTGCCAGAGACTCCTGACATTCCAATCATTGCCACCACACTCAGCGACGACGGGGGACGAGGAACGGAGCCCGGCCTCAGAAAAGCTACTGGTCTCTCCGAATCTCCAGACATGGGACAAACCATCAGCGCGTCGCAAGCGAGCTCTCCCAGCCACTCCCGGACGAAGAGCGTTACTACTTCAATCCACAGTGCTGCACCGGGCAGCGGTTCCAAGGGCACGGCTACTTTCACAATTGTGGGTGCCTCTGGTTACCCATTATCAACGGATCTTTTCATACAGGTGTCCATGCTGTCGCCAAAGGAGAAGGTTATTGGCAAGACGAAGCACTTCAAGTCACCAAACGGAAAGTGGAGTTTTGAGGAGACATTCAAGGCCTCTTGCAATGCTGACGCCCAGTTCAAGATTGAGGCCAAGGGAGATCACTTCATTGGAAGCAGTGACGAGCTTGGAGAGCATATCTACTTTGTGGATGAGACTGGATTCGGTGCCGCAAAAGAGCTCACTGTTGGTGGTGGTACAGTCACAATCAAGAGTAGCTTCCAGCTTGCCGAGACGGACGCGCCCGATACACCAAAGTCTCACCTTCGACGTAGTTTCTTGGGCAGGCGAGAGTCTCGAACCAGCCGGGAAATGACACCTAACCCTTAGGTTGGGGCTGCCGTATTCTGGGTGTCTTTCTGAGCCACCTGTCACATTGGTATTGATATGAATCTGCATGTGCTATCCTGGATAGCATAATTTACGAAGCAGCTTCTCAAAGTATTTCCCGACTAGTATCCGGTTTTTTTTATTTTTTTGGTGGTGGCGAGCATTTCTTTAGTTTCTGGTTTGTCTGTGGGAAATCCGTCCCTTTTCTTCTGTTCTCACTCCAATATTTATTTTTCTTTTTTCTTGCCCTTTTAAGCCTTTCCAACAACCCAAACTATCGTCTCTAGGGGCAAAATTTACCTTCGCTTCGACAGTGAAGAGGTAAAAGAAGGAGTTGGGATCTTCTGATTGTGGCCATGGAAGGCAGACTGGCATGGGAGGAAAAAGTCGTATTGTTAGGTTTTATATCCTAGTTGATTAGTTTTTGTTGAATTGAATCGATCATACTTATTAGGTTTTCCCAACCATGATAAAAACCTAAATTGAGTAAGTGAAGAGACCCAAATCCTTTGAAGTACAAGCCAGGCTGCCGTAGGCTCGTAGCTTTTCGGCCGTCAGCCAGGCGACAAGGCACCCAGTTTCTGGGTGGATCCGTATTATGTAACCGGCGACGCAGGTACCTCGAATCCACACTACTTTCTGATTGGCTGCCTGGCTGGCCCAAGCTCTGCCCTGTTGGTGACGCGCGATACGGAAGCTGCCTGAACTTGCCAACGTCGACCCTCATCCATAGGCACCTTCAACACACATCTCCATCCCGAAGTGGCCTGTACCGTCAATCCGCCACGACTCTACTCGATCCCCCACGACTGTCAGTCTCGGCGAGCTTTCTGGACGTCGATTTGTGGTACCTTGGTGTTCCTGCTTGTGCACACTCTATTCTACCACGAACCAACGTGGGCGTCACGAGTAGGCCTTTCTGCCAACCGATTCACCTCCCTCCCACCGCCACACCTCTATCGCTACGATGGATACTCTTGTATCTAGATACAGCAGGCCGACATACGAGCAAAATGAGCCGTTTGAAAACGAGGCACGGGAAATGATGGATGCCACGTCATGCCTGACCACCAAATTTGCTATGCCTCCCATCTCTCAGGTTCGTTGAGCTACCCGAAAACCGACGCCTTTGGTCTCCAAGAGAGAGGCCGTGAAAATTGACGGAAAAAAGACTGACACGCACAACGCAGCCGTCGTCTTGGCTTCGCGCGGCCACGGACGACCGGTCAAACCCCGACTGTCCCATCAAGATTGCTCACGGCACGACAACACTCGCCTTCCGTTTCCAGGGCGGCATCATCGTGGCGACCGACTCCCGCGCCACGGCCGGCAACTGGATCGCTTCCCAGACGGTCAAGAAGGTCATCGAGATCAACAGCGTCCTGCTGGGCACCATGGCCGGCGGAGCCGCCGACTGCCAGTACTGGCTGGCCTGGCTCGGCATGCAGTGCCGCCTGCACGAGCTCCGGCACAAGCGCCGCATCAGCGTCGCGGCCGCCAGCAAGATCCTCGCCAACCTGGTCTACAGCTACAAGGGCATGGGGCTCAGCATGGGCACCATGTGTGCCGGCGTGACCAAGGAGGAGGGCCCTGCGCTGTACTACGTCGACAGCGACGGCACCCGGCTGGCGGGGAGTCTGTTCTGCGTTGGTTCCGGCCAGACCTTTGCATACGGCGTGCTGGACGCCGAGTACAGGTATGACCTGAGCGATGAGGATGCCCTGGAGCTGGGCAGGCGAAGCATCTTGGCGGCTACGCACCGCGACGCCTACTCTGGCGGCTTCATCAACTTGTACCATGTCAAGGAGGAAGGATGGGTCAAGCACGGCTTCAACGACACGAACCCTGTTTTCTGGAAGACCAAGCTGGAGAAGGGAGAGTTTAGCAACGTCACGAGCGAGCTGGACTAGCTGGATTGGGGACGGACATGGTGGCGGGGGCGCCTAGAGCGCCTGGAGCAATGCAACCTGTACAACGACAAGATAAACCGAGACTCTGTTTTTTGTATTTGAACATGTGTATGTACAGTGTGTGTATGTGCTGTGGTGTGGTGTGGTGATTTACAATTACGGCACGTGGGATACAACAAGACCACGTGCAGCGGCCCGTCTGGTCCCCCGGTCCGATGCATCCATCATCATATCATACATGCAAGAAGAAGCCAGCTCCCATCTCGGTCCAGGAGCCGGACACGTAAAGGACGAACAGGACACGCCGGGCGCTGATCGACCAGGCGCCCCTGCAGCCGGTGTGGTCAACGTTCCTCTCTCCTTGTCCTTGTCCAGCCCCCGACACCCAGTATGCCGTCTCCGTCGCGGCCGGCGTCCAGGTCCATGGGCCACTTGCCCAGCGGCAGGACGCCCAGATCCGAGCACCACCCCTGGGCAAACATCTCGACGCCGGCCCACGCAATCATGGCGGCGTTGTCGGTGCAGAGCTCGACGGGCGGCGCCACAATCTCGGCGTCGGGATACCCCCTCACGCGGAGCGTCTCCCTCAAGACGTGCAGGAGGAACTTGTTGGAGGCGACGCCTCCCGAGACGACGATTGTCCTCGCCGCCGGCCGCAGCTCGGGCCTGTCCTGGAGCGCGACGACCAGCCGCGAGCAGAGGTGCTGGAAGGCGGCGCGCATGGTGTGCCTCGCCAGCGAGCGACGCTCGGCGAGGGCCATGGCGGGGCTGGCGGCGGCGATGCGATGCACCCGCGTGTGGATGCTGGAGAAGGAGAAGGCGAGGCGGCGCGAGTTGCGCAGCGGCAGCGGCACGTCCCAGGCGTGCCCGGTGGGCGGGGGGGCGATCTCGTCGGAGCGCGACGCGGCCGGCTCGAAGAAGGCGTACTGCGCGTCGGGCGGGCCGTCCGGGGCCGGCGGGAAGGCGAACGACTCGAGGAGGCGGGCGTACATGACGTCGGGGCTGGCGCCGAGGACGTCGGCGGGGAGGATGACGCGCGCCGCCTGGTCGAGGAGGTTGCCGACGGCGATGTCGCCCGTGGCGGCGACGACGCGGTGCGCCGCCGGCCCCGTCGAGTGCACGAGCTGCGTGTGTCCGCCCGAGACGAGGAGCGACAGGAACGGGAACTCGGGGCCCGCGCTGCCGCCGTCGCCCGCGTCGCTTGCTCCCGTCCCCAGCGCCCTCGCGAGCCGCGGCGTCAGCGCGTGGGCCTGCATGTGGTGGACGGCGAGGAGCGGCACGTCCCATCCGACGGCGAGGCCTTTGGCCATGTTCAACCCCACTGCCAGGTTGGCCATTATCCCGGGGCCCCTGGTCACGGACACGAAGTCTGGCCGCTGCTTCCTCAGGGGCGCTCCGGAGGCGGAGGAGAGCGGGGGGATCTGTATGGAGGGAGCGGACGGCGAGGCGTCGGGGAGGTGCTGGAGCGCTCGCCGGACGAGCGGCGCGAGGGACGAGTTGTGGCCCCGGACGGTCACGACGGGGTGTACGCCCTTGAAGGCGCGGTTATCGGAGGAGATGCGCTCGTTGAAGAGGAGCGCGGTGGAGGGCGGCGCGTGCGAGAGGACGGCCACGGCGGTGTCGTCGCATGACGACTCGATGGCGACGGTGAGCAGGGTCCGCCCACCGACGACGCGGCCTCGGCGAGGACGGCGATTGCATGGCCGCGGGAGGACAGACTGCAGGGGGCGATGCCGCTGGCGGAGGCGGAGGCGGGGCAGGAGCATTGGTTGACGATGGTGATGAGGAAGCGAGGTTTTGGAGTTGACGCCGGCCAGAGGCAGGCGGTTGAGCTTCCCCACCCCCACCTTTCCTTTTCAAGCGGCTTCCATCGACCAGTTCTAGTTCTCCTCGTGTTGACTCGCCGTTGATTGTCATGTGTGCACAGTTTTTTCGACGAATCCGCATCGTCGACTGATTATTTCCTTAGCGGCAAGATACGTGCTTCTGTGCATGGCTGCTATTGAGGCTGTATAGTGACGGCAAGTGCAAATCCCGCCCGTGCCCGTGCCCACGTCACGTGCTCCATCACAGCCATGTCAAAGGCGTCACGTCACGCAGCCATGTGCGACCTCTGATCCAAAGCTACACCCAATTCACCCATTCGCACTTGCATCCTCCGCTGCCTCCGTCAAACCCTCCAAACTTTGCGTTCCCGGTCCCCCGCCGGTTCACCCACGTCCCCCCGTTGCCCATGTTATTGACCAGCGCCTGTGCCTCCGTCGTCGCAACCTGCATCCGGTCGTCAATGGGCCGATCCCAGACAAGCTTCCTATCCGGGTTCCCGCCATGCGTGTCCTGCGTAATAGTCACCGGGTACGGCATAGTCCCGGGCCGAACTAGTTCACCTGTGCTGCCGATGCCCTTGCTGCCATCCGGTTTGAGCAGCGACGACGCATTGCTCGACAGGGCCCGCGTCCAAATCTGCACGTGAAGTCGGGTGTCGCCCCAGGTTACGAGATGAGACGCTTCTGTTTTGCGGCATCCACCGTCCTCATCCAGAGGCATGTTGCTGTCCGTGTTGTTCTGGATGGTGACCGACTTGACAAAAATGGTGCGCTCAAAGTACGTGTAGAAGCCGTAGTGTTCGGTGGGCAGGCCACGGTCAAAGAGACGGACGGGCTGCTGTACAGGGGTGGGCATCATGACTGCCGGCGCCGACGTGCCGTCCCTTTCCACGTCCGGAGGCGGGATGATGTCTTTGAACGTAGCGTTGCCGATATTGGGACTGACGCCTCTGCGGCTGAGCTTTGGTGTCGGCACCGTGTCGTTTGTCGACCTGAGGAGGCTGATGTAGAAGGGTGCTCGCTCGCCGCCTTTCTGCTCCGACTTGATGTTGTCCGTCGTCTCGCCGAGGAACCAGACTTCCTTGAACTTTGGGGCTGCGGGATCGGGAAAGAACTCGGTCGGCGCCGCGTCCCGCCTCAGGACACTCATCGCATGAGCTGCGGCTCCGAGTGCTCTTCGCGATAAGGTTTCGGGTGCATCCCCGTCAGGGGCGTTCCATGCACGGCGAGTCCCGTTGTCCCATTGGATCTGCATAATCAGCGTCGGTTGATTTGCTTTATATGGCAAAACAGACGGCTGCTGGTCCTTGGGCAGAGAGCAGCTCCAGAGCGTGGATGGCTCAGTGCAGACAGATCTGGCCGCGGTATTATCTGGCCCTACCACCGTCAGGACGCCCGTGGGCATGGGCGGGAAGCCTGTCAGGTTGACCCAAATAGAGCGTGTCTCTGCTGGGCTGTGTTGACGTGTGAGCAGCACTGCCAATAAGACGATGAGAAGCATCAAGGCAATGGTGCCGGCCCAGATTGCCATCCAGACCCGTCTTCTCTTGCGGCCTTCACGACCTGTGCGTCCAAAGCACCCCCTTGACGACACGCAGCCACGTCCCCTCCAGAGGCCACCGGCGCGGCGAGCAATCATGTCCTCCTTCTCATGTCGCCGCCGCCGCCGCTCGACTTTGTGTCTGCCGCCTGCTGCAGAGCATGCGTGTTCGAGGGGTACAAATGTTCCCACTGCTCGTACGGGAAGCGGCTCCGTGAAAACCGGCTGTATTTGTGTCATGGGCACGGCAGGAGCGTGGTTCAGGGGCTGCTCCTTTTGGTGTCCTCTCTGGGAAGTCATCGTGCCTGCCAGTCCTGGAGAAGCTGGTCTCGGAGTAGGTGGAAATTGAGAACGAAGCGGGTGTCCGGGCGGGAAGACCGCCCGGTACCTGGCGGGTTTGTCATCTTGCTTCTTCTTGGGCGGTGAGTAGGGTGGTGGGATATCTGATGCGCTGGGGCTGTCATCACAACTGATGACAATTCGCGGCGTCTGTCTCGTGCTCGGCCCTACAACAGGAATCTGCGCCTCTGTCGAGAGATCTTGAGGGCTCTCCGCGTGCCCCGTATCAGACTGCGTTGATGGTGTCCGACGTGGTGGTAGTGCTCGAACAATAGGTGCTTGTACGAGTACGGGGACAAGGTCTGAGGGTGACGGCCTTGATCGATGTTCATCCGCGGCGTTGAGGTTTGCCCGCGATTTATCCCTAAACGTCTCTGTTCGAAATTTGGGTGATTTTGGTGATTTTGGGGATTCGGTTTTGTACCTTGGACTTGGGAAGGACATTTTCTTGTCAAGGAAGGGTGTAACGACGTGGTCCCACCACCCGTGTGATCTTGAACTGGCACTATCGAGGCCTATACCGAATTCCTTGGACTTGAGATGCTTCTGTGGGCTGGGCGCGCCATCTTCCTCAAAAAGAGTGCATGGCGTGTCGCTTTCGTCATCCTCATGTCGACTTTTCCCCGATTCGAGGCTCAGTGTCCTCTGGTGCGTGGTCCTGTCGTAATTCGAAGGCAGTTCCGGAACCGGGGGCGGCATCTCTTCTTGCGGAGCCTGAGTTCGCATGATGAGTTGCGAGTATACGCTAGATGCCGCATGGTTCGATCCGAACGAGCATGGCGTATCCGGTGTATCGGGGGACCACACGGACTTGTGTCCCTGCACATCAGTCTTGGCCTCGTGGGGTACATGACGATCGTTCAACTTGGCGGCAGGGAATGGAGCTGTCGAGTTGCCGGTCAGCGCAGTTTGCGGGCACATCTGCCGCCCTTGTATATCCGACGACTCCAGCGATATTCCAATAACAATAGCTCTGTCTTGCGGCGATAACTGTCGGTTTTTATTTCGGTTACTCCGCATTTCCGAGGTTGACTCGGACTTCTTTCCAGCGTCCTCGTTCAACCAGTTCCAGCTACCAACTGAGGCGGAACTAGGTTCTCCTTCCAGGGCCCTGAGGGCGGCGGCGTCGACAAACTTTCCTTTCCTGCCTGTATTTCGGCGAAACACAGACATGTCGGTGATGAGGCGGATGCCAGCCCTGGCGTTCTGTGCCTTTTGTCTCTGTCGTGATCTAATTCTGCGCACTTTGGGCGTCGACAGACTGGACGCTCTCAGGTGCACGGCCTTTGTGTTTCCGTCTTGGAGTGGTGCTGGTACGATGGCCGACGGACAGACTTCAGTCTGTTTTGCCGCGTCTATTGGGGTGATGACATGGTCATCCTCCCACTCTTCCCACTCTTCCGCTGCTCTCGCGGTGTTGGCGGGAGCATGGTGTCCGCTTTGGTATATGGGTGGCAGACTCATGGCGTTTTTCTGTGTCGACGATCTATCACCAGATGGCTGTTTTGTGGGGGAGAAAACGTCGAGAATGCCTGTATGGTGATTCGGCAAAGGTCGTCATGAAATTGCCGGCAGCCCAGATGGCGTGGTTCACGAACAAAGGCCAAGCAGAGGTAGCAGGACGATACTCGACCTTTCGATTTCGGGGCAAGGGGTTTGGTTGATGAAAAGAATGACGGATAACATGCCCTACGAAAGAGAGACGGAAATGAAGACTAGTAAATCGAAAAGGACGGCGAGAGTTGAGAGAACGAGAGACGAAGACGGTAACGAAAGACCATCAGACCCAAGGGCTCGTAGCGGAGACGAAACAGGAACAATACCTAGACACGAACGTGAATAGGCATGGGGGATTGAAGTGCGATTGAATTGCGAATTGGCAAGACTCAATCAGACGACAATGGGACCGCGACGAAGCTGGCACTGTCGCAGCCCAACCTCGACGGCCGCATCTGCGTCCGAGGCGGCCAACGGGCTGCATCTTGATATGCTGCACCATTTCCAGGTTTCCGGGTTTTACAGGTTCCATGGCTTGTTTGCTAAATAAAGAAGAGGCTCCATTACGGCGCATCTCCTCCCGCGTCGACGTCGGCGTCTAAATGCTGATGACGGCGCTTATTCGGAGAGGCGCTGCGATTTCATTGGTTGTCACTATGCGCCGTGGTGACGGTGGCTTTTGATTGGTTGGTTTTGCCTGAATTTGTTCTGGCGCCATGCAGTCCGATGCGCTACCCTGAACGCGGGAATCCCTCTTCCATGTGGCTCGCAGGAATATCAGCAGACTAGATGAAGCTACCGCATGGAGCTTGCATACGCTATGCTCACTGAATACCTTCTTCATGGGATGCTATCAGCACGGTGGACTGGCAGTTGTCAGCATACCTAGCCTAAGGAAAGCCGTTGGCCGCATACACGACAAACTATATTTGCGGCTAAGGGGGCTACACGGGCCACACGGGGCGCAACTCGGGCCAAGTGCGCGTTTCGGGCGTTGCTATTGACATGGTGTGCAATACTCACTTTCCGCGTACAGCCGTGGGCGCGCTGACAGCATTTAAATATGGTTAGAAACAGCAACGAAAAAAAAAAGAAAACCAAACAAACAAACAAACAAACAAACAAACAAACAAACAAACAAACAAACAAACAAACAAACAAACAAAAGCCGCACGTGCGTAGATGCGCAATGCACGCTGCGCGTTGACCAGGCGAGTGCACCTTTCCGCCGCGCTATCAATGTCTTGCTGAATTATGCAGTATCACTGCGAAGCTGGTGATTTGTGCTGTGCTTTCCTGCAAAGCAGGTGACGACCTGAGGTACTTCTCAAGTACTTACTTGAGCACCTACTTAGGTAAGTAGGTTACTTACCTAGGTAGGTACTCAAGGCACACCAAGTAGGTACCTATTTGGTAGGAATCTGTAAGGGCCTCCTAGGTTTTTTTCTGATTTGGCGCTCCCCACCGCAATTTGCAAAACCCTGTCTTTTGATGCTTATAATAATCCCGGCTCAGTACCAAGCCATGAGCAAAAACGGCGGCCAGCAAAAAGATTGCATATTTGATCTAGACAGGAATTAGGGGCACGGTACGTACTACTACTTCGTACTGAACTTGAGACGTAGCCAATTAGTTCTCCTGCGGACCGACGAACGCACCGTAGCGCCACACAACTCAAAACTTCGTACTCCGCACGCCGTACGAGCATTCTCTCTCAGCCACTTTTCAGCACAGGCTCATCTCACTCGACGGTCGGTTCAACCCAAGTGGTCATCAAAACCCCTCGGAAGTCTGTTGTGACGAAAGCGAGATCCACGATTCTTGTGCCATCTAGCCGAACCGGTACCCTCTGCAGCGTCTCCTGAGCAAAATAAGAAGAAGAAAAAGAAACCCAGAGAGAGAGGGAGAGGCACAGAGAGAGAGAGAGAGAGGAGACGGAGAGGACGGAGAGGGAGGGAGATCGGAATAAAAGGGAGAGGAAAACAGACCTACCCACCCCAGCTTCCTGCCAAGGACCGGGTTTGCTCTGCCCCGATTTACTCTTCTTGGTTTCAACTAGTGGCTGGCTTGCGCGCAAGTCGTTCACACAAAATTCCATCACTCGTTTCTCTCATTTTCTGCGTTTTGCCAAGAGTTGACGACTTTTCTGCCCGTCTCAAATCAACATCAACATTTATTTTCTGTGTACGGAGTACCTGCTCCCGCCGGGAACAAGGGACACAGGAGCCACTGTGGCTTCTCGTGCGTCGCGCGCTCCGCTCGTCCGCCCGCGCCATTTTCCGAACCTGATTCGACTCCAACCAAACGAGAGACGAGGGACGAGAGACGAGCGTCGAGAGTTGCGCGTCCGCCGCTCCGGTTCGCCAAGCCACTTTGCTCCTCTCGACTCGGCTTTTATCATCCCAGCCGGCGGCCTTGCGGATGGCTGATCGAGCCTAGCAAACCCCCATACTCGACAGCGACGGCCAAACATTCAAACTGGCTTCTTCAAAGCTGACCGCCGGCTCCTCGAGCTCCTTCAACGACCGGCCTGTGCCGTCCCACCACCGGCGACGCTCCTCGGCCGGAGCCCAGACTCCGAGTGAGCAGAGATCTGGCAACTTTTTAGAGATTCGCCCTGCGCTTGCTAATCAAGCACCTCTCTCCCCCATCCTTGGTACGTCTTGCCCACTATGCAACAGCCCACACCGGCCTGTGCTTCATCCGTGTAGGACCATGTCCTTGCAGGTTACGTGCCGGGTCATACGCGATTGCACAACTCGCTTCATGGCCACCATACAAACTAACGCCTCGTGCCGTGCTATGCCTAGGTACACCCGCTACTCCAATGTCCCTGTCGCGTAGCCCATCACCCGTCCCCGGCGGTGGCTGGTCGAGCCCTGGCCTCAATGTCCATAGTGGCAGCTCAAGTCCAGCCAATGCTCCGGCTTCCGGCCCAGTGCAATGGGAATCTGCCAAAATGCGACATCTCGGCGCCAACCGCTATCCTTCCTTTTCGACGCAGAATTCGGGCTTCTTTGCTCGCCACTTGCGCCGCATTTCAAGCAACCTCCCCCGCTACAACTCGAGTAATACAGATCCACGATACGGTGACAAGCACACGCCTTCGCGCGTTCACAATATTCCTTTGCTTGGAAGAATGCGATCCATCTTTGCTCGCATGGGCCGAAAGCTGAAACTCAGACTTCTTCTTGTTCTTGTTTTCCTGCTCTGCCTGTACATATTCTATCATTCTCGTAAGTGCTTCGTATCCTCTCCATCAGCACGCGACCAAAGTTTTAGTCGACCGATCCTAACACCAGATTTCGCGTAGCTCTCATCTACTGGTATCGAAGAGCAAGCTGGGGTCGAGGTGGCTCAAAGTTTGTCATCATCCTCGCAGCCAATGTCGGAGGAGGCGTCATGGAGTGGAAAGGTGCTCGAGAGTGGGCAATTGAGCGGGACAGCGTACGAAACAAGCGGAAATATGCTGCAAGATGGGGCTACGACCTCGAAATCGTCGACATGAAGACTAGGAAGAAGTATGCTCACGAATGGCGAGAAAGCTGGGAAAAGGTCGACTACGTCCGAAGTGCCATGAGGAAATACCCCAATGCTGAATGGTATGTCCCGAGTGTGCTTTCCGTGACGGCGTTCACGACAGAGAGCCCATCGCTAACAGCGCCGTAGGTTCTGGTGGCTTGACCTCAACACGTATGTGATGGAACCCTCGTACTCCTTGCAGGATCATCTCTTCGACAACCTCCAGACCAACGTGTACCGCGATATCAACGAATACAACCCGCTCAATATTACCCATCCTCTCACCTACCCGTATCTTGACAAATCTGCCAGGAGTCCAGTGGGAGACGGCAACATCAACTCTGTCAACCTGCTTTTCTCGCAGGACTGTTCTGGCTTCAATCTGGGATCATTCTTTGTGCGACGTAGCGCCTGGACCGAACGCCTCTTGGATGTCTGGTGGGATCCAGTGGCGTACGAGCAGAAGCATATGGCGTGGGAGCACAAGGAGCAAGATGCTCTGGAGACTCTCTACCAGAACCATGCTTGGGTACGAGAGCACACTGGCTTCTTGCCTCAACGAAAAATCAACAGCTTCCCGCCGGCCGCATGTGACGATGGCTCTGGAAAGAACAACACTCGTTTCCATTATAGTCAGCACGACCGTGACTTTGTTGTCAACATGGCTGGCTGCGAATGGGGTCGAGACTGCTGGGGCGAAATGTATCACTACCGAGAGTTCAGCTACTGGCTCAACAGAAACGCCTGGGAACGCTTCAAGGAAGACTTTATCGCTGTTATCTGGTGGAAACTCACAGGCAAGCGGGTGAAGCTGTGATTTTGACTGAGCTGCCGCCCGTCAATACTTCCCCCCTGGTTTCTCCGGGCTCAGCGAATGCGACTTTGTTCGAGCATCCTTCACTGTGACATATCAAAGCTCCATTCTCTGTTTCGAAAGGAGTTGCAAGGGAGTCCTGGGGAATCATGCCTGTCTGGGTGTGCCAAGCTCAGATGAGACCATTTAAGCAACTGACAGCCCGTGCGACAAGGCAAGCAAAGAATGAGCACCAGGCACACGACATACCACGACGGTCTTGTTTCCCACGACGTTTGTTTCACCTTGAATGGTGCATGGCGATGTGCATCTGGCTCGGTGCATAGGCTCAGTGGAATCGTCACCATGACCGAGAGGCGTTTTTTTTTTAGGCCGGCGGCGAAAAAAGACTCGGATGCATTCATCAATTCTTGTAATTCTTATTATTCCTCGTTTTTCTTTTCTTCCAGAAAGACGACGAAATTGTTTGGTGTCGGGGGAGCACGAGGCACGACAACAAAGACTAAAGGAGGAGGACAGGAATTCAGTCGATTCCGGTTGTATTTGAACCCAAGATCTGACTTAGCAACCCCATGCATGAGTCTGTCAGATGGCTCACAGAGGCGTTGTCACCTTTTTTTTTTCCCTCTTCTTTTTTTGTATTCAAAAGGTTTCTCTTGAGCATGGAAATGGTTGCTCTCGGTTTTTTTTTTTTTTTTTTGTTACCCCT